TTCCGATTTCTCGATCTGGGTTTCGTTAAAAATAGGATCTTTTTCAGCAATGAAGGGGATGAAGGAGAGATTAGTAAAGAAGCTCAGGCTCATCACCTCTGTCGGGACGCTGAAACAAGGCTTAGCTCTTCATCACAGCCCCAAGCACGAAACCAAACTCCAAAATCAGATTCAGAGGGAGGAGAAACCAGAAACAGAGACCCACGACTCTCCAACCAGAGAGGGACTCACACCAGAAACAGAGCCTGAGAAGACACAAGAATCAGCGGAACAAGATGAAGGAGATGATGGTGATGTTCTGTCGGAGTTTGAAGAGAAATGTCCACCGGGAGGCGAAGATTCCGTCGTGTTCTACACGACCAGCCTCCGGGGAGTGAGGAAGACGTTCGAAGCCTGCAGAAGGACGAGGTTCTTGCTGGAGAATCACAAGGCTTCGTTCCGGGAGCGAGACGTTTCGATGGATTCAGGGTACAGAGAAGAAATGTGGAGGTTACTTGGACAGAAAGTAACCCCTCCGAGGCTGTTCATAAGGGGGAAATACATAGGAGGAGCCGAAGAAGCCGTCGTCCTGAACGAGAACGGGAAGCTGAAGAAGCTTCTGGAAGGATTAGTGTCGTCTTCTTCCGCTAAATCTCCGTGCCAAAAGTGTATGGACGAACGGTTTTTGATATGTTCGAAATGCAATGGCAGCTCGAGAGTGTTGGTTGTGGAAGAAGAAGAGGGAGGAGGAGGAGAAGGGCATGAGACGTGGAGAAGATGCACTGATTGCAATGAGAACGGTCTTGTGAAATGTTCTGTCTGTAGTTAGATTTCTGATTTAAAATTCAATGTTTTATGACAAAAACTGATAATTGTCGTCTCTACTGGTTTTGTGAGAGACTGTAATGATTTGTTTTCATGTATGAGATTTCGAGATTGACATGAGTTAGGATGACTTGCTGATGATTCTGATCATTATTACACACATAAATGTGTTTGCTAATGATTTTTCTATTTAAAATTTCATTTGATACTAGTTCAAGATTTAACATACATATATTAGAATTAATATTTTTTGAAAACTAAAAAAAAAATTTCTGAAAGACACTAAGAAGGGCTTTTATAAAAAATACCCCTATTATGCTACAAAGACTTCAACGCATACCCCTGCAAAAATAAAAAAAAAAAGTTAGTTCAAAACATACCCTTATAATTATGTTATTCCCATAATACCCATTGGCGTGGGTCCCAATGACAGAAACAGAAGAGAGAGAAAACAGTTTTCGGTTCCCTATGAAAAAATTTAAATATTTTAAAATTTTTAAAACTCCCTCCGCCACAAAAAGTTAAATTTTTCGCGTGAATTTTAAAATTTTTTGGTGTGACCAGTGTGTCCAAGTGACCAGTGTGACTAGTGTGACCAGTGTGACCAGTGTGACCAAAACTAAAATTTGAACGGCGTGACCAGTGTGACCAGTGTGACCAGTGTGACCAAAACTAAATTTGAAATGCAATGGCAGCTCGAGAGTGTTGGTTGTGGAAGAAGGAGGAGAAGGAGGAGGAGAAGGCCATGAGACGTGGAGAAGATGCACTGATTGCAACGAGAACGGTCTTGTGAAATGCTCTGTCTGTAGTTAGATTTCTGATTTAAAATTCAATGTTTTATGACACAAACTGATGATTTTCTTCTCTACTGGTTTTGTGAGAGACTGTAATAATTTGATTTTCATGTAATGAGATTTCGAGATTGATATGAGGTAGGATGACTTGCTGATGATTTTGATCATTATTACACATTTAAATGTGTTTGCTAATGATTTTTCTATTTAAAAATTCATTTGATACTAGTTCAAGATTTAATATATATATTAGAATTAATATTTTTTGAAAACTAAAAATAAATTTTCTGAAAGACACTAAGAATTATATAAAATAGATGTTTGTGAACAAAATTTAACCTAAAGTCAATTTATCCACTCGTTCAAAGCCAATAGTTAGTTGTCTGGCACTCGCGTATTCAGCCCCATTTCATATTTTCTCCCTCAAAATATCTTCTCTCCGGCATTACAGAGTTCGAGTTCCCGTCTCTTTAGCGTCTCACGGAATCTGGGAGTTCAGGTTTCGTCTTTGAATCTCTGGGTTATTCTTTTTTTTTTTTGTCTTTTGCGTTAGTCCTCTCTGATCTTTTCAATTTATATCCCTCGATTTCTACTCAATTTTCAGCTACTTGACTTAGGTTTGATTCTGGCTTGATGGGGTTTCTTTTTCCCTGTTATCTATGCCTTATAGCCTAATAACCCGATGAAAGTTGGAATCTTTGCTGTATTTCGTTCTCGCCCATGAACAGATCATAGTTGAATGGGTCAATAAATCTCCTCTAGGGCTTATTCAAGAACTGAACTTTGATTAATTGGGTTTAGAAGGAAAACAATGACCAGGAAGTTTCAATTTTGATGCTTGAGAAAAACCCAGTAGATCTCTCTGACCAAATTTTTAGTTCTAGAATCTGGAGTGTTTCCTTAATCTCTGTCCAAATAGAATTCCACCTCTTCAACGAAAGATCACTTGTAAAGATCACATGAAGGAGGACGATGAGACGATGAATCCATTAAAGATATGAGTGTGGGGTCAAGAATTGATTAGTTACTTTTATGGAATTCAGCTTCTCTTGTTGAAGTTTTGTTATCTGGGCATGTTGTTGGAAATGCTATGTTATGTACCTTTTTACTCTTCGGTTTTCAGATTTCCAACTACATGGCCTCCTTTGATGGGCCGAAGTTTTGGATGAGCGATGGCTCGTGCGTGCAGACGAAGGCCATTGACGTTGTATCATCAACTGACATCTCCTCTTACCTTTCTCGCTTAAGAGAGGATTCGATCCAGAATGGGAAACGGGCAGTCATCTTCGATCTGTATTGGGATGTCGAGTTTCTTGACACAGACAACAACAAGAATAAATGGCGCCTATCCTCGGTGAAGCTCAGCACGAGAAACCTATGTCTCTTACTCAAACTACCGAACCCGTTTCAGGACAACATTAAGGATCTGTTCCGTTTCTTTGCTTCCAAGTTTGTGACTTTTGCCGGGGTACAGATCGAGGAAGACCTCACATTGCTCAAAGAGACTCACGATATTGTGATAAGAAATGCCACAGAGTTGGGGAAATTCGCTGCTAAAGTCCGAGGAGTCCCTGTGCTTGAATTCCTTGGTACCAGAGACCTGGCACAGAGAATTCTTTGGTATGATTTGAGCCGGTTGGACTCGATTCAGTCTAAATGGGATGAGATGGGTTCTAACGAGCGCCTTGAGGCTGCCGCAATTGAAGGTTGGCTTATCTTCAATGTCTGGGATCAATTATCACAGTGAATCCATGTTTCAAGTCTTTGGATTGAAATGGGTGATTGTTGAATGAACTGAACAAGGAAGTGTATGCAGTTTGTGTTTGACACTTTTGTGGTTTTCTTGTTGAATAATACATACGTGGGTCTGTTCCTGTTGTCTTCAAGAGCGCCCATCGTGTATAAATAAGGATTTCCTGCGAGAAAAGAAAAAGGCTTAAAACCTTGTATTCTTGGCCACATCTTTCTCTCGCCGATCCATTTCTCTCCCTGTTTGGTTTCCTGATTGCAGAATTCGAAGTTTTATCACTCCAGAAAGTGTTTACCTTTTGGATTCGCTCATCTTCTCTCTCTCTCAATGGAGAGCTCGCAGTGTTTTTGTCAATTTCAACGGCTGGTCTAATGTGGTTTCCTTTAGCTGTCAGTGGGCTGCATAACTGAATCGATTTGGTCCGTTCTCTTACATCACATGAAATTCTCATTGGGCTGTTTCCACCAGTTTTTTTAGCCGGTGAGAAGCCTTCTTGATGGTGAAAGAAAAGGACTTTATGGTGAATTGGTGAGATTGAAAGCAGGGGAGTAATTTTAAGAGTCTGAGTGAGATGATCCATGGGTTATGCTTTGGCTTATGATTATTAATCAGTCGTAACACAGATAGATTTTTGATGGATTTGGGTCTTCCCCATTGCAAAATCCATATGATGCATAGTTGGAAGAACTTTCAGTAGCTTGAACTTCTTATTTTCTTCCAGTGCATCAGCTTTTCTTGATTGCAATGGCTTCACTCTCCTAGGCTTTCTCATCAGATGGACTGTTTCTCACTCTGGGTTGGTCTGGATTCTCTTCAATCCTACTGTTTATTTGGCCTTAAAGTTGCAGATAAGGAAGCTTTTGTCGTTCTAAGATTAGCAAAGTTGTTGCCCTCTGTCTTTTTTTGTTATTAAAGAAATCAATTACCAAGTGTTATTAATGGTTCTAGGCCTAGAGAAATCCCCTAACCAACTAGGAGAATGCATGCCATTCTATAGAAGTGCAAAAGTCACGTAAGTCCTCTCTCTCCCTCTATATATAAGGATTGTTCTATATGTCTTTCTCAGATAAAGCTTTGGCATTCAAGGCCAAGACCGTTTAGAGTTTATATGTTGGTGGAGTTTAGCTTCTCTTGTTCAAGTTTGGTTTTATGACAAGTTAATGTACCTCTCTGCTGTATTTGCATCCCCGTTGGTAACTTTTTTGTTTTTGCTCTTAGGTTTTCAGATTTAAAACAGCATGGCATCTTTCGATGGGCATGAGTTTCGGATGCCAGATGGCTCATGCGTGAAGACGAAGGCCATTGACGTTGTATCGTCGACGGATATCTCTCCATACCTTTCCTGTATTCTTGAGGATTCCTTCCGTGGGGGGAATCGAGCCGTCATTTTCCGTCTCTATTGGGATGTCGAGTTTTTTGACCGAGACAGTGGCAAGAAGATAAAATGGTGTCTATCTGGTGTTACACTCAGCACGAGAAATCTCTGTCTCTTTCTCGAACTGTCGGACCCGTTTCTGGACAGCCTTAAGGATCTGTACCGTTTCTTTGCTTCCAAGTTGCTCACTTTTGTTGGTGTACGTATCGGGGATGACCTCACATTGCTCAAAGAAACTCACGGTGCTGTGATTCATAACGTGGTAGAGATAGGGAAATCCGCTGCTAAAATCCGCGAAAAACCTGTGCTTGAATTCCTCTGTGCCATAGGTTTGGCACAGAGAATTCTTGGTTGGTATGACTTGAGCCGGTTGGCCTTGATTCAGTATAAATGGGATGTGACGGATCCTAATGAGCGTCTTGAGGCTGCAGCCAGTGAAGGCTGGCTTGTCTGCTGTGTTTGGGATCGGTTGATTTTGTAACTCATTGTCTCGTCTTTGGATTGAAGTTTGTGTGTTTGCTCTTCTGTGTCATTGTTCGGACAAGGCTTGTGTCTTTTTTTTTCTGTCTTAACGCTGACTTTGAGTTGCGTCATTCAAAGGGTTTCCTTTTTTTTTTTGGTGTAACAACTCATGTTGGTTTATTTCAGAGGAGAAAAGGTTTTGCTTTAGCTTATGGTTATTATTCAGCCGTAACACGACTAGTTATTGATGGATTTGGGTCTCATTCCACTGACAATCTGTGCACGATTGGAAGATCTTTCAGTAGCTTGATTGTTTATTTCCCACTCGTGCTGCTATCTGCTTGATTTTGCACTTATTGTGTCTTCACTCTCCTTGGTTTTCTCACTTGGGTTGTTTTGGGCTCTCTTAAATCAAAGGGATAAAGTTTTGTTTTTTTATTGTCAAGAATGGTGAAAGGTGAAAACTTGTAAGAGAATTGCCGAGTTGATCCTGTGCTTTTTTTTTTTTTTAAAGTAATCAATGGCCAAGTGTTACTAATCGTTCTAGGGAAGGGCATAAGTCGTCCTGGAGGGATGCATTAATCAACTGGGAGAATGCATGCCGTTATAGGGAAGTGCAAAAGCCACGTAGTTCCTCTATATATTTGTATGGATTGCTCTTTGCGTCTTACAGATATTTCGTATTTGGGATCAGATTTGAAACATCTTTCTCCAAGTTTCGTCAGGGGGGTATGAATGTTTCTGCTGAAATACTTTGTGTTGATGGAATTTTCCTTCTCTTGTTGGGTCATATGATTTGTTATGTACCTTCTTCACTCTTCTGCTTTCAGATTTCGAACTGCTGCATGGATTCCTTCGATGGGCCGGAGTTTGTGATGACAGATGGCTCGTGCGTGAAGACGAAGACCATTGACGTTGCACCGTCAACGGATATCACTCCTTACCTGTCTCGTATACGAGAGGATTCGTGCCGCAACGGGAAACAAGCCGTCGTCTTCGAGCTGTATTGGGATGCCGAGTTTCTTGACGACAAGGCTAAATGGCGTCTGTCCTCTGTCAAGTTCAGCACGAAGAGTCTCTGTCTCATGCTCAGACTGCCGAGCCCGTTTCAGGAAAACCTAAAGGTCCTGTGCCGTTTTTTTGCTTCCAAAAGTGTCACTTTCGTCGGGTTGCAAATCGAGGAAGATCTCGCATTGCTTAAAGAAGCTCACGGTATTGTGATTCGAAAGGCTGTAGACTTGGGGAAATTAGCTGCGAGAGCCCGACGAACACCTGGTCTTGAATTCTTCAGTTCCATAGACTTGGCACGGAGATTCGTTTCCCTCGTTTCCCTTGGCCGGTGCCGCTTCTACGCGTTTCTGTCTAAATGGGAGTTGACGGATCCTAACGAGCAGCTCGAGGCTGCAGCCGTTGAGGGTTGGCATGTCGCCATTGTCTGGGATGAATTTTACGAGAGAATAGATGGTTATTGAAGAACAATGGTGAAATATATGATTGAACAACGGTGTAATTGATGGATTTAGGTTAAATGGAGTGAAAGAAGGGTAAGATGCGATGTGTTTTTTGTGTGTAAGGAGAAAATTGTTCTCCAGAGTCCGGACATGAGTCTTTTGTTCTAAGACTGTTTTGGATAACCTTTTCGATTTCACTCGATCAGATTGTTCGTGCATTCGTCGGAAGAATTGCCCCTTCGTTCTCCCGTCCCGTCCTTGGATAACTGTCTCTGGGGAAAGCAAATTTCAGCCTGCGAACTTGTTCTTCCTTCTCATTCAGTTTCCTGAGTTTTCCGCGTTTGGCGGTTTCTTGTCCTTCTGTGGTTTCGTTTGGCTATCAATGGTAGGTTACTTCTTCGGCGTCCGTTTGATCCATTCTCTTCGGCAGTGGTGATTTTACGAGTTCATGGGTTTTGCTCTGTGGCTTATGATAATCAATTTTAACTATTCACAGGGTCATATCTGAAGCTTGGTTGCAAAGGTAGAATCTTTTACTCACAAAACGGCCATTGCTTGGTGGTGGATGGTAATCAGTCAAGAAATAAAGATTAAAAGGCAAGAGATTGATTAAAAACGATGATAAGAAATCTGAGCAACTCAGGAAACGGAGAAGAACAAATGTGATGCCAATAAATTCTCACTTGCTTTAGAGCTATCTACAACTAATACATATAGTATAATAAACTTTGCCCATGATGAGAAATAATCTAACATATATAATATTCTGCAAGCCCATCACCTGAGTAAGGTACTCACACCATGCTTTGTTGTTTGTTGCACGTGCTGGATCATTTTTCGTGTGACCGTTGCTCATTTCTTTCTTTAACATCAACTTGGTTAATGTTTCTCATTCAACATTCCCCTCAAGATTAGACGTGAATAATCGATGAGTCCATTCTTGTTTATTACAACATTGTACCACTATAGAGTCGTCATCTTCAACAGGGAGAACCAGAGCTGTTCGGACTCGTGTGGTGATGACATAATCCCACAGTCCTTTATTGTGAATGGCTGCTGTTGTCGCCTTCTTCCAATAAAAGTAGTTATCGCCATTGAGCAGAATTGGAATGAGTTTGCCATGTTGTTCCATTGCAGAACTTCTGTTGGACAGTTGAGCTTCAAAGAAGTTGGACAGTTGAGCTTCAAACGACCATTGCTTGGTGGTGGATGGTAATCAGATCTCTTATTAATCAACGGTAACACAGATAATTTTGATGGATGGGGTAAATGTTTTGGATTCCACTGCAAAATCTATGCATAGTTTGAGAAAGATTCAGTAGCAGTTTTTCTTGATTTTGCACCTTATGTATAAGGGTATGTATGTCATTGACTAATCTTAGGGTTTTATGTAGATAGATATGGGTAGTGATGAATGAGACGGCAGGCAGGAGGTTTTGCGACTCAATTTGGCATACGGGTATAGTACCGGAGCCCGGTTCAAACTCTCGCTTGTTTGCCGAGACATTTGGTTTCTCTTGTTCATGTTTGGTTTCAGGATATGTTAATGTACCTTTTCTGCTATTTATGCAATCCTAATTGGTATTTTCGGTTTTCAGATTTAAGACTGCATGGCTTCCTTCGATGGTCAAGAGTTTCGGATGACAGATGGCTCGTGCATGAAGACGATGGTCGTTGACGTTATATCATCGACAAAGATCTCTCCTTACCTTGCTCGTATACACGAGGGTTCAATCCTCCACAGGGGGAACCGAGCCGTCTTTTTCCGTCTCTTTTGGGATGTCGGGTTCGTGGACACATGCGGTGGCAAGAAGGCAAGATGGCGTCTTTCCGCTGTCAAGCTCTGCACGAGAAACCTGTGTCTCTTTCTCGAAACCCGTTTCTGGACAACCTTAAGGATCTGTGCCGCTTCTTTGCTTCCAAACAGGTCACTTTTGTCGGGTTGCGGATCGAGGAAGACGTCGCGTTGCTTAAAGAAACCCATGGTATTGTGTTTCATAACGCTGTTGAGTTGGGGAAGTCGCTGCTAAAATCTGCGAATGGCCTTTGTATGATTTCATCGGGGTCATACAATTGGCACAGCGAATCCTTTCGATTGACTTGAGCCACTTGTACTCGAGTGAGTCTCTTTTGGTCCAGAGGGTTCTAGGGATTCTCTTGAGAGTGCCGCCACTGAAGGTTGGCTTGTCTGCTGTGTCTGGGTTGAAACTCGTCTTACGGCGCTTTGGGCCTTACCCCACAACGTCTCACAGCCCAACAGACAGGATGGAAACATCATCGCGGACAATAAACTTCCGGCCCTTGCGTAACAGTCGACAACAAGACACGTAGAACAAGTACAGCAGATCAGTTCAGGTAAAGTTCAGATTTAAGGACAAATCGAACCCACGACTTCGAATAGAAAGGGTTGTTATTTTCAACTGAGTTGGTTACTTCCCCTTGATTTTGCACTTTCGGTAGCAGCTTTCTTGATTTCGCCCTTTCAGTAGCAGTTGTCTCACCGGATCCAATGTTTCTCAATTGGGTTGTTTTGGATTCTCTTCAATCTGACTGTTTTCTGGGGGGGAAAAAAATCAAAGGGATAAAGTTTGGGTTTTTTCGTTCTCTAGAATCTTCGGGTTTCTGGCATTCGTCCTCCTCCGTTTTTATATTCTTATCTCGATCTGAAGCTTGCGAAGAACATGAACGGGAGCTTGTTCTTCGGCTTTCCTTTTGTCATGCGGTAAAGTTTGTTTTTTTCTCTCTCTAGATTTTCCTTTCTCGTATTTGTTCTTGGACGAACAAAATAAATCCCATCAACTATAGTATTTGTTATATAAAACGTAACTAATAATTTTAAATTATGCGATTATAAAAATCACAATAAACAATCGTCCTTTATATTACAAAATTTGTTATAAATATGATACTGTAATTTATTGATTATAAATTTTATATTTAAAACTTTGTCATAATGTCCAATTTATTTATTTGTATTAAAATCTATTAATTTGGATGAACGCATGCAGGTTTTTGTATTTAAGTCCAACAATATTCATTCCTAGGGGAGTGAACTCATCAACTGGGAGAATGCACGTCATTCTTGAGAAGTGCAAAAGCCACGTAGTTCCCCTCTATATATAAAAGTCTGATTCTTTTCGTCTTGATGAAATATCGTATTTGGGATCAGATTTCAAATAATCAAAGGTACGAATGTTTCTGCAGAATGTTGGTGCGAGTTTTCTTGTTGGATCGTATGATATGTTATATGTACCTTCTCACTCTTCGGTTTTCAGATCTCGAACTGCATGGCCACCTTTGATTGGCAGTGTTTTCAGATGGAAGATGACTCGTGCGTGCAGACGGTTGCTGTCGACGTTGTGTCATCAACAGATATCTCTCTTCACCTTTCTCGTATAAGGGAGGATTCGATCCAGCATGGAAAGCGGGTAGTCGTCTTCGATCTGTGCTGGGATGTCGAGTATCATGACGGATACGAGATGCCTAAATGGCGTCTATCCTCTGTCAAGTTCAGCACCACAAACCTTTGTCTCTTTTTCAGACTGCCGAACATGTTTCATGGCTTCCGTATTGATCTGTGCCGATTCTTTGCTTCAAAGGTTTTCACTTTTGTTGGGGTACGGATCAAGGAAGACCTCGCTTTGCTTAAGCAATCTTACGGTATTTTGATCCGAAACGCAGTAGCTGTGGGGGAATTAGCTGCTAAAATGTATAAAAAAACCTGAGCTTGAAGTCCTCGGAACCATAGACTTGGCGCAGTGCCATCCATGGAGTGTTGTGAGCTTCTGGGACAAGAGACGTGCTAAGTGGTTTGAGCCGGGTTTTAGTGATTCTCTTGAGGGTGCAGCCTTTGAAGGTTGGCTTGTCCGCTGTGTCTGGGATAAGTTAATCCGTGACTCGTTTGGCCGGTCTTAGTGGATTAAGGCGGGTTCAAGCGTTCGTTTTGAATGGGTTGTTTTGTAACGAACTGCTCATGGATGTGGCACTTTGTGTTTGATCACTTCTCTGTTGTTGTTCTATCCTTGTAGTATCCGAGGTTTTCTTGTGGTATGTTGGAAGACTGTTTTTGATACACTTCAAGGTCTCTCTCGTTGTTGGTAATTTGCCGTGTTAAGTTGTTTCTTGAAGCCATTGTGACCAATGGTTTTCTGGTTTACAAAAGTGAGATTCTTGTCTGCATCTTTCTTTCTCCCCCATCCAAATCTCTCCCATTTTGCTTACCTGCTTGCAGAATTCAAAGTTCTTTAACTTCAAGAACCTGATAAGTCTATGTCTGCCAATTTGATCTTTCTCTCATTTTGTTGTCTTGCTGTTTTGGGGGGCTCCCTGCTTTTTCCGTATTCTTCATTTCAATGGCTGTTCTCTTGTGGTTCCCTTTCTGGCTATCAGTAGTTTCCTTTCTCATGTCGATTTGATCCGTTCTCTTGCTTGATCTGATATTCTCATTGGGTTATTTCTGATAGTGAATCTGGTGAGAAACCTTCTACATGGTCAAAGGTATGGACTTTATGGTGAATTTGTGAGATTGAATGCAGGGGTGTAGTTTTTATGAGTTTCTGTGCGATTGTTCACAGTTTTTTTTAATGAACTATGGGTGCTACCGTTTCACAGGGTACTAAAGGTTGAATCTTTACTCTCTGCTACAGTCTGTAGAGGGAAGGCCATTGCTTGGTAATGGATGGTAATCCCATCAAATGATCTTTTATCTGATTAGCCCACTGGTAATACAGATAATTGTGATGGCCGTGGGTCAATGCTTTCGGTTTCATCGTAAAGCCTATGCATAGTTTGATAAACTTCCAGTATCAGTTTGCTTGTTTGTACTTCGTTTATGCCTCTGTCTTCACTCTCCTGAGTTTTCTCATTAGATCAATCGTTTCCCACAGGGCATTGTTTTGGATTCTGTCCAATCTTACCGTTCTTTTTACCTCGTTCTTCACCTTTTTTGAAGCTTTTGAAGAGCTTGAGTGGTCTAATGATCTGAGCTTTGTCAGTGCCATTAGATGCTTCTACTCTATCCATTTAACAGTACCCGAGACAGAAGATACAGAGAAGATGAGACGGGACTGCGCTAATATTGACAGCGCCGATGGTTTTAGGGGCTTCCATGGGCGATACCCGAAGAAAAAGACGTTACCTCGGGTGTTTATGCATCGACTTAGCTGCCTGGACTTGTCTCCTAAAGGCCGGTTGAATCAGATAACCGTTGTAGATACCCTTTAGTTACGCCAACATCTACAGGTTGAACAGATTCTCATTGTATGAAAGTATGTAGTGATTTTTTTTGTCGTAGGATCATAAAAGAAGGTTTCTGCCATATCTTCTGTGGGATTGAAGGTCATACCCATTATCAGATACCGAAGCACTGATTCACATGGCTCAATTCTCTCCAGTTCTTGCGTTGGTTTTTTTTCAACTGTTTCTATACACAGCTACAGATAAAGATTGTTTCTTGGAAGAGGGTCAATCTCTTGCTCATTGTTCTTAGAAACCAGTTGTGGGCAAACCCAGTTCAGTTTGATTCATTCATGTTCGGTTCGGTTCGGATTTGACAAAATTGAAAAAAGAGTCCAATTTTAAATCAAATCAAGTTGGTTCTGTTATGTTTGTAACACAATTTTTTTTGCGTAACTCATTAAGAACCAAGTCTCTTGCTTTGACGACGTTCAACGTCTACGTCTCTTCCACAAGGCACGTCTTTTGTTCCTTCCCGTTTCTTTCACACCATCGTTGCTCACGCGCTCCATGGGCGCGTGTGGTGCAGACGTCATCACCGGCGCATCAAAGTTTCGTGAGGGACCCTTTTTGCCGGCACGAAGCAAAGTAACTGTTCTCTTCTCATCCATCTTGATAGCGACACTTATCTGTCCTGTCTTCTCTCCCCACTGGTCCCAGCTTCAAATTCATGCTCTTGGAAACGTTAGTTTTTGCTATTTCCATCGCATTAGTGCGTAATTTTCCATTTCTTGGGAACATCAGCTGTCGATGATTCAGCTCTATTTAATATCTCCATGATTGTAATTTTCCCGAGAAAGTGAGAGAGAGAGAGAGAGAACATCTCACGTTCCTCGCCCGTCTCGGCGGTCTCCACATCATCCCGGGAAGCTAATTTAACGCCGTACGTTCGCGGGAATGTATTCTTAACTGCATTTCACGATCTGGGCAGTGTTGATTTCTGGTTTCCGATCATGGGTTTCGCTTGATCTCAATTCCAGTTTTTTGGCGCTTTTGAGTTGTGATCGGATCGAAAGTTGCCGACTTTTTACCTTCTGGGCTCTGTTACATCATCTGGGTTTGTTTTCTTGACTGTCTTTTTGGCTGTTTATGCGTTTGTCTTGATCTGTGTAGTTCATCTGTTTCTGCTAATCAGTAATTACTCAATTACTCAGTTAGCTTACCTAATATGGAAACGCAATCCACTTATGTCAGCTTCTCGTTTTCTTAAATCTTAGACTAATTGCTTAAGGTTTCACTAGTTCCTTCCCATGTTCAGGTTTCAGTTTCTGAAAGAGACAGTGAATTCAGTTTTTTGCAGTTCCCGTCAAGAACTGAGATGCGAAGATGCAGAAGAAACGACAGATCTCGGAGTACAGAGCGAGACTGGACAAGACCTTGTCCTCTCCCGACCTCACCAATGTCGAAACCCTAAAAACCCTCATAAAAAAACAGCTTTGTTCACCTTCTCACCATGAAAGCAGAGGTTGATCTGTTCTTCCTTCTGAATCTAATGGCGGCAATCTGTTTCTTTTCGATCCGCTTTTTTCCGATTCTTTACTTGCTCTTGCCTTGTTATTCTTTTGTTTATACAGAATGCAATGCAGATATATTAGATAAAAGGACTGAAAATGTATCCATTATACTCGACAAGCTTAGGAGTGCTTCTTCATCGTCGAATGATGAGGCTTCGTATGGTGACTGGAAAGTATGTTCCTCGTTTTTGTCAGTAATGTCCTGTTTAGTTAGTTAAAGACTGTAAACTGAAACAGATGAACTGATGATGTAAGAGAGTAATCGGTTATTACAGTTGAAGAGCGATTACGAAGATTGCCGTGTTATGTACCGTGAAGGACTCGAGGGAAGTCCCTTTCACACTTTGCTCGTCGAAGGTTATGTGGATGGACCCGTCGAAGAGTGTAAGTTTTAGATTCGACCCGAGTTTTAAAGAACTCTCTAAACTGAAATCTGCGAACTGAAATTATAGTTTTATAACCCAGGTTTGTGTGTATCATGGGAATCAATCCTCTACAAGAAATGGTGAGAGTTCCTTCCGTTCCTCGGCCTTTTACTCTTTCCCCTTTGTCTTCTTCCC